GGCCCACTGCTTCCTGCCCTCCCCTTCCCAGAGGCCCACTGCTTCCTGCCCTCCCCTTCCCAGAGGCCCACTGCTTCCTGCCCTCCCCTTCCCAGAGGCCCACTGCTTCCTGCCCTGCCCTTCCCAGAGACTCGCGAGTGCTCACACTGAAGAAGTCCTCTTTCTGTCTGTCCTTAGTGGAGGCGTGAGCAGAGACTGGATTGGTGTCCCCAGGAAGCTGTATAAGCCAGGTGCTAAGGAGCCCCGCTGCGTGTGTGTGAGAACCACTGGCCCCCCTAGTGACCAGATGCCGGACAACCTGCCACACAGAAATCGTGGGGACCTGGACCACCCAAACTTGGCGGAGTACACAGGCTGCCCACCTCTAGCCATCACATGCTCCTTCCCACTCTAAGCTGTAGCCTTTTCTGTTGATAACACACAGAGAGCTCTGCCGAGAACCTGAGTAGGCCCTTGACACTTGTGTGCCCTGGGATGCCCCCTGGCACAAATCAGGAGGGTCTGGAAGGACGCTGGCTATATTCTGCAAATGTGGCTCATGCCCCTCACTGTGGCTCAGCGTTGTGGTGCCTGAGGGACAGCCGGCCACCTGCCCAGTACTGGTTGGCGTTTCACCACTATTCCCCTTGACCTACTGGCCACCTTCCTCAGAGCCCTCAGATACCAATGGGCGCAAATATCACCAACTCCATTTCCACTTGAATTTACAACCAAAAGCCTGCTGGGTTGGTTACAGCTGGGCCAACACGGTAAGAGGCAATAACAAATTAGCATGGGTTGATTCTGGACTTGGAAAAGCTTTTGCTTGTATGGATACGGCAAATCCAGATGTCTCTGAACAAAGCAACAATTTAAAGCAACGACATTTTCTCTCCTTTAAGCACTTAAAATCAAGTGTGGTGTGTTTTCAAAGGCAGAAGTCTGCATTTTGAGCAAAAGGTGGTTTCCCAGCTCTTACAAGGTAACTGGTTAGCATGACATTCAAGTTTGGGCAGGGCTGCAAACGTAAGGGGGCTGGGCTTGCTGCTTGTCCAGTGGTTTGTATTTCCAGGGTCGTCTGTAAGCCCCACGCTTGGCAAATGTCGCACCTGTTACCTCTTGACTATTTATTAAGGTAGATGGGGGCAAGGAGTGTTCCTCCTCCAGACAGAAGTGGGAGCAGCACTACCACAGACAGCACTGTGGCCTCTGTGCATCACCCCATCAGAGCCTCCCCCCAGCTCCCTTTCCCACTCAGTCTCCCCCTCAGCATCCTCTAGCTGCCGCTCTCTCTGTCACTGTCTCCTTTTCTCCATCATTCATTTCACTAAATCGCCTTCCAGATTCACAGACTAGAAAGTGGAGGCTGCCCCCGCTCCACTGGCAGACCCGTGCTCACTGCCCCTATGGCCGCAGCTGTTCCTTACACTTGGGCTCCGGCTCATGGCTCCTTTGGCCTGCCCCCCGCCATCTTTCTCGCCTGCCCCTCTTGTACCCTTAACCTCTCCCCACCTCCTGGATCTTGCCCCAGGCGTGCGTTCAACGGCCCACTTCTCTCATGTAACCCCCTCAGTGCCACAGCTGTGGCTTGTACTTACTAGCTTTGCTTTTCAGCCCCGTGTGCTCCGACAACCAGCACAAATTCTGCACTGGCACATTCCATGGTCACAGCCAGTTCTTACCTGAGCTTCATCACATTGGACACTGGACTGTGGGGTCCTCCATGAAACCCTCGCTGGGCTTCGTCCTGCTTCCCTTTCTCCCCCTGCCCATTCCTTTTTCATTGCCTTGAGAACCCCGTTTTGCTTCCACAAACCCCTTCCCATTGGCTCCTCTCACTCCAAATCTGGCAGTTACTTAGACCATCAAACCTGCACCTCTACTCCAGGCAGCATTCTAGAGCGTTTCATCTTCCCTTTCCCGTGCTGCTTCTAGTACTCCAAGTGAACGGCCCACCAGCTCCACGCGGAGTCAGAATCCGAGCAGCCATCCACACTCTGTCCTCCTTCCCTCCTCCTAACCCACCTGCAGGTCCCAGGAGCTCTGCCTCCCTGGTTCTCTCCTTTCCCTTCCCTCTTACCTGTCCCCAGTACTCCTTCTCTGGCCTAGGCTGTCATTTCTCACCTGGATTACTGAAGGAGCCTGACTGTACTCCCTCCCTTCAATCCCTCCTCCGCACTGCTGGGAGCCATCTTTCTTTCTCTCCTTTTTTTTTTTTTTTTTTTTGAGATGGAGTATTGCTCTTTTGCCCAGGCTGGAGTGCAGTGGCGTGATCTCAGCTCACTGCAACCTCCGCCTCCTGGGTTCAAGCAATTCTTCTGCCTCAGCCTCCCAAGTAGCTGGGATTACAGGCATGCGCCACCACACCCAGCTAATTTTTGTATTTTTAGTAGAGATGGGGTTTCACTATGTTGGTCAGGTTGGTCTTGAACTCCTGACCTCGGGATCCGCCCACCGCGTCCTCCCAAAGTGCCGGGATTACACACGTGAGCCACCGCACCTGGCCGAGCTGTCTTTCTTAATCATGATCAAGGCATGTCCCATTTAAGCCTCCTCAGGGGCTCCCCTTATCTATAAGGACTGAGTGCCAGCTCCTCTGCTGTGTGCCACACGAGGCCCTTCTGTGGCCTCTCTCCTTTTAGACCTGTGCCTTTCCCATCTCCTCCCATGTGCACCTCCTTTCCAGCCTCCCTCTCACTGCGGTATGTCTGCAGTGCTTTCACACAGGCTGTTTCTTTTGCCTGGAATGACACTTCTTCTCTGTTGAATTAATCCGCCCCGTATTGCTTCAGTATAAAGCTCAGTCAGGCCCTTCTTGGAAGGCTTCAGTAACTGTTGGGCCAGCAGTGAGATACAGAGGCACTTTCCTTGGTTCCCATGGCACTGTGCTCATATCACAGTGGGCTCTTACCATGAACTTCCTATCAGCCTCTTGCACTGGACCAGACACTCTGAGGACAGAGCCCCAGTGTGACTCAGCTCCGTACCCCTATATCCACATGACTCAGCGCCAGACCCCTATAATCCACTTTACTCAGCGCCATACCCCTATATCCACATGACTCAGCGCCATACCCCTATATCCACATGGCTCAGCTCCATACCCCTATATCCACTTTGCTCAGCACCATACCCCTATATCCACATGACTCAGCTCCATACCCCTATATCCACATGGCTCAGCGCCATACCCCTGTAATCCACTTTACTCAGTGCTGTGCCCCTATATCCACCACGCCTAACATGTGGGAAGTGCGTGCAGAGGTCTTTTTTTTTTTTTTTTCTTTTTCTTTTTTTGAGACAGAGTCTTACTCTGTTGCCCAGGCTGGAGTGCAGTGACGTGATCATAGCTCACTGCAGCCTTGAACTCCCGGGCTCAAAAAGATTCTCCCACTTTGGCCTCCCAAGTAGCTGGGACTATGGGCATGTACCAGCACACCTGGCTAGTTTTTTATTTTTGTAGAGATGGGGTTTCACCATGTTTCCCAGGCTGGTCTCGAACTCCCGGGCTCAAGCAATCTGCCCACCTTGGCCTCCCAAAGTGCTGGGATGACAGGCGTGAGCCACCGCGCTTTTTGGAGATAAGGCAACAAAGGCACATAGAACTGAAGTCACTGAGCGTGGAGCTGAGCCTAGAACGCAAAGCTCTGGATGCCTGATTCGGTGTCATTTTCACTCCTCCATATTTCTGTATGTTTGGCCCTCCCTGGGGCAGGACCAGGAGCAGACAGAAAGGAGAAGAGCTGAAATTAGGATTTTCTTCCGAGTTCTAGGCAGTCCCTGAGCTCAGTGCTGAGACTTCTCTGTTACCCAGAAACAGCCCCCAACCCCAGGCGAACTGAAAAATAGTTAGTGCCCCTGATTTAGTCCTCCTTAGTCATTCAGCAAATAACTTACCAAGCACCTACTATGTGCCAGGCATTATGTCAGGGCTGGGGGTTGGGGCAGCAAGGCTTGTGACCTCAGCGGGCTTGTCCTATGGTGGAGGAAACCCCACAGAGCGGCCAGAGGCCGTCCTTGTGGCAGGAATGCAGGGAGAGTATGAGGACCAGGCCCCAAGATGTTCTCCATCCTTCAAAAAACAAACAAACAAAAAGGAGCATTCGTCATTGCAGCCAGCTGCGGGCTCTGGCCGTGCCTGGAGGGTGCGCGGTCTCTGACTGATGCAAGCCTCCTGCGCACAGGCTCCGGAACAGACTTGGCTGGCTTCGGAGCCTGCTGAGTTCCTTGCGCAGTGAGAATGCATTTCCTTTTTGATACTTACCTTATGGTAATTACCTTCCTGCTTAACCTGCTAACACATCTCTCATGTCAGGGCAAAGGATTCAGCAAAGAATTAGGTTCGGCAAGAATCGGTTGTCATTTTAGTGGCCTGAAGGGCTCGGCCGTGAGAAGCTGTAATTACTGGAGAAATGCCTCGCCTTTCCCTCTCAAGTACAGGTGGCCCTGGGCAAAACCATGGGGGAGGAAGGGCAAGGCCTTGATGGAAGCCACAGATAAGCTCCGCTCAGGCTCAGCATGCAGTCACACTTGCTGGCAGAAGGAAGGGAAGGAGAAAACTCATCCGTATTGCACAACTCTGCTGGGCCAGGCCTTGTTCTCGTTTAATCTCTATGCCTGCCTCGAGAAGTTCCCATTTTATGGCCCAGAAAAGGGGCATGAATATCTCCCCACCTCTTCTAATCATTACATCAACATCGTGTGACAGAGCTGGGCTTTGCGATGCGCGTCTGATCTCCGCCACACCAGTGAGCATGTGTTAAGGCAAAGCCTTTGCAGCTGCACTCCACTCCGACACTGTGAAGGCGGCCGGGCACCTACAGTCCCAGCACTTCGGGAGCCCAAGCTGGGTGGATTTCTTGAGGCCAGAAGTTCGATGGAGGTCAGCCTGGCCAACATGGTGAAACCTCATCTCTACTAAAATACAAAAATTAGTTGGGTGTGGTGGTGTGCGCCTGCAGTCCTAGCTACTGGGGAGGCGGCGGCTGCAGTGAGCCGAGATCACACCACTGCGCTCCAGCCTGGGTGACGAGAGAGACTCTGTCCCAAAACAAACAAAACCCAAAAATAAAGAACTCACCTTGAAGCAAGTTTCAACGTCTGCCTTTTCATTCGGAGATTACGGTTTTCTATAAACATCTAAGAGTGAAGAGTCTGAGGTTTTTTGGTCCCAGCTCAGCCAGTGATCCCACCCCGCCCCCACACTTGCTTTGCTCCAGGCATAGCTGTGCTCTGAAAGCCAGCCCCAATGGGGAGGTTCGGACTGTGCTTGCTCAGAAGTCCGCGGGTGCCCCTCAGAGAAGGGCAGCGACCCTAGGCTGGACCCCACCCTTGAGAGCATTTCCTACTGCCAGAGCCCACGGTTTCTTCCGGGCAGCAGATACCGCCATAGCCTTTGCCAGAGCCCCCGATTTCTTCTGGGGCAGCAGATACCGCCGTAGCCCTTGCCAGAGGAGCCCTGCCGTGCACACACCAGAAGCTGGGTACTTGGATGAGAAGGGCACATTACTGATCTCCTTCCTCCAGGCAACCCTGTGAGTTAAGGACTACAGTCCACCCCCATTATGTAGGTAGGGAAACAGAGGCAAAGAAGTTACGAAACTTGCCCAGAACTCTCAGCTAGTCAATGAAAAACCAGAACTAAAACCCAGTGCTCTTCTCTGGCTGGGTAAACGTGTGGAAGTTGCTGTGTTCCTGGTTACTATTTGTGCTTCGCTTATAACCAGTGACAGTGTGGTTAGCACTCTTCACCTTAAGGATAGCGGTGAGGATTACTTGGGATTGTCATGTGGAAACACTTAACGGTGCCTGTGAACGATGAGAAAAGCCACTGGAGAATGAGCTTTATGAGCTCTATCACCACAGCTAGTCTGACCTAGGGGTAAGCAAAATGGAAGACAGGAAAAGGGACTGTATTAGCTCAGGAAAGCGTGAGGGCCACGGGAGCTGCCTGATTGGTAACGATTTGTACAGGGGCTTTATGGATCACTAGATTCCAATGTGCAAGCCCTGAAACCGTCCTTAGT